GCTGCTTGACAGAACTGTTGACCTGATGACGGGAGCCTAGGCGATCTTGGAGACCAGTCCACTGCTTGAGGAGTGTTTCACCGTTCACAATCATAGTCTGGTTACCGGGCATTTGGATCTCTTCTTTCCATCGAGTTTCGAGCATGTCTGGTTCGCAACCAGTCACCATTCGCTCGGTTGCGGCCCACTCACGAAACCGAACCCAGTTTGTCATGTCATCACGCTCTTTCGAACGAATCTTTTCTTCCGTGATGATTCCTACTGCACTTTCGAATGTTCTCCGCTTGCCGGCTCCCTCTGTCTCTCTCTTCTTTTTCTCCTTCTGGTACCACTCAGCGCGGGCTTGCTCATTCATCTTGGAGACTTCGGCCTTGATTTTCTCGGCCCGGGATCTGTGCTCCTTCTCTTCGTCGGTTTCCTAGCACCAGCTGAGCCTACGAAAAGAGGCGACTTCAGACCAAGAGACATCTCCTTAGTGAGTTCAGCAAACGACCATCCAGCAGGAACATACAGCACCTGCGTTGCCCGGACAGACCCGGAAAAGCACTTGGCACCATCGGTTTCCATGAATGCCTTCAGCTTCTCTGCGCTGCAAAACTTGAGGAACTGGGTGACGGGCAACTTGGCAGAATCAAATGACGGCATAGCTGAGGTGTCGATCAACTTCTTCTCCGGCGCCACATGCTTAGCCAGCTGTGCATAGGGAAACATGACAACCTGGCGCACACCCTCACTAGAGAATCTCAAACAAGGCAGGAAAAGCTTTTCCATGGCAAAGGTGGATTGGTTCTGGTTGATGGCGAAGCTCGTCGTCAACATTGCCCTGTGAAGGAGCTCGGACATCTCCTTCGACTCTGTGTGGACAGAGTCGACCTTGCCCTTGTGGAAGCTCATGCCATCTGGCATTTTTGCCTCCAATTCATTCGCAATGTGCTGGATGACAACCAGATCCAATGCTACCTCGGCCCGCCCTTGCGAAGCTTGTTTGAACATCTTCTTCAGCTGGCCCAAGGAAAGTTTGGCTTCTGTGCTGAAGACCTTCCCAGCCGTGTCGGAGCTGAGGTCGATGATGGCTGGGTTGTTGAGGTCCATCTTCTTCAAGTCAGATTCTGCAATGACAGGGATCTTCTCACCGAAGTTGGCAGCCTCCGCGAAAATGGTGTGCTGGGGGACGTTGACACTTGGATCTTTCTTTCCCGGCTTTGTCTTCGCTGCTGCGCACTTGGCTTTCTCTGCTGCATTGACCTTGGTCACCTTCTTGATGTCGTTGAGAACGGCCTGCGAGAAACAAACAGGTTTAGGTAGATTAGGTAGGGTCTAGGGCCAGGGGTCTACAGGGTATGTGTCAAAAGCCTTTCTGGGCAAGGACATCAGGTCAGAATAGCTAATGAGGAAAGGGCACTAGCAGGGGGCTGGGGTTTTCAGATGAAATGAAACTCTGCTTTCATCCCCAACCCAGCCTGTGAGCAAGAGAGCAAATCCATGATGGGCGCCTTCATTTGCGCGAACTGCTTCTTGTGCTCCACAATTTCCGCTGCCGTGGAGCACAACAGGACCTCATCCTTCAACAAGGCTAGCTCTGGAAGTAACTTGAGCTCAGCAAACCGCTTGCATGGTGGCGCAGTACCAAGCGCCACAACAGCACCTGCAGTGCTAGCATTGTCCGCACCATCCAGCTTCATCGGGGAACCACCTGGTACCTGGAACTGCTCAATCAACTCTGTCAGCTCACCACCTGCGCCGGAAAGTGCTTGCAGGAACTTGAGTCGCACACTCGCAATCCTTTCCTCACCTTGATACGTCCTCTTCTCATCAGGGCCAAGATTGGCAATCATGTCCAATGCGGCAGTCAAGTCAGCAACGCGCTGCTTGTGCTGCTCAAGGAGCTTTTTCTCCTGAGTGGCTAGGGCCTTCTGAGCCTGATTCACGGCCCTGTCCTTGTCAAACCACTTCTTGGGCTGCTTACCGGTCTCTGCCCCCTCGTCCTCCTCCTTCTCATCGGCCCTTGGTGTCTTGGGAGCCGGCTCATCAGCAGGAGGGGACGATGGGAGGAGATTCATCACATCCCCAACGTTCATGTTGGCATTGTCAAAGGCGCGCCCAGCGCCTCCTTGCAACATCATGGTGCCCAGCTTCTGTGCGTCGGGAATCACTGAGTCTGCAGAAGAGGATCCACCAATGCTGTCGTGGTTGGACATGACGCGCTTCACCATTTTGCCGAGTTGCCCCTCATCGACCTTCTTGAGAGGCTTGTCCACAAAGTCAATCTGGCGCTTCTTCTTCACGTCATTGTAGTTGTAGACCATGACCTCCCTGTCTACAGCAAGTCGAAGCGGCTTCTTCTCTGGACCTTGCTTGTCAAACACGATGCTGCCCTCTTTGGCCAACACCTCCAAAGCTTTCCACTTAGCATCTGCCTCTTCCTCCGTGCTGCATCCTCCGTCTACACTTTGCCAAAAGAGCTTGGTTGCCAGAAAGGCGCACACCTGTCTCCGCAGAAACGCTTTCCTTGTACTGCACGAAGCTCCACTTCACCTTGCCTTGCTTCCCGGAAGCAACCCATGTGCTGTAGGCAGTCCGGTAACTGTCGAGCATGGCCTTGCATTTGGCTGGGTCTGCCTTCGCTTCCTGAAACCACTTGACTTGACGGCATCAGGACCTTGCGCCCTTGCCTGCTTCGCTATGTTGTCCAAAAGGGCGCTTGCACTCAAAATCAACCACCTGGTTGCAGGCAAAGTCAGTCTCCGGCTTTTTGACGCAACAAGCTTTGCACTGCCGCATTTTTTTGGAGTTGCCACCCTTGTGACGCCCCGGTGCAACTTTGGGCTTGGCCTTTGAAGGAGCGGCGTCACCCTTTACCGTCGCATCTGCCTGCTCATTCTGCTGCTCGACATCATCCACAGCCATAGCATCGCAGTCCTGATCCAGAGCTAGGAACTCCGACATGCCGCGCTTCATGCAAGGGCTGAGGACAAGGATAACTGTGCGCTGCACACTAGCAACCAAATTGCTCCAACAGAATGCGTCTCCGAATGCTGCTAACAATCTAACAATCAACATGCGCCTGCAAGCTAAGTCGGCACGCGCTCAACATGGAATGCACTGATTGCAGCCACACTCAAGCAGGAGGTCTCGTCCATGTATAAAAGTGTGTCTTCCCCTCACAGGTTTCAAATTGCTGGCTCATGATAACAACAAACAGACTAGACTACGCAATTAGCAATGTGGGGGACACAAGAATCTCTCGCCATGTCTCTTGCACGCCGAGAACAATTTGCTCATTTGGCGACCGACAGCAGTGCACACATCAAAACACTGCCTACGGCAGGCAGGCACATGGTGTTCCCAAGTATCTGTTGCATCTGAGCTCTTGACAAAGACGCTAAAAACTCTGCTGGCCACGGGCAAAGTGAAGCGAACGCACTATCCTGTGGCAACATGATTGGCAAACACTGCACTGCCATCATCCCGAGTGGATGAAGAGGTCGTTTCAACTCCATTGAATATATAAACGAATTTCGAAGAAGGCATGGGATCATCTCATTGACTCTAGGTCGTTGCGCAGGGTCCTGGGACAAATCTACGAAGACCCTAGCTTTGCCAGCAAAGCGATCTGAATTCTCGATCAGCTGCTTGTACTTCTCAAGTTGCGATCTCAGCCATGGACTCAGAATAATTGAAGCTCTCAACCCCGCAGCCGAACTCTCAGGAACCAGACCACGCTGCTCAGCAAAAGTGTTGAGGAAAGCTGTGACCTCGGAATCAGATGCCCTTAGAAAGATGTTGGCATTTGCAGTCACACGCGCTGAAATCAGCTGATGGAAGCACCTGCCGGCGAAAAGACTCAAGTCTCCACCAAGATCTTTCCGAATCAGCACAGTGTACCGCCGCTCCCTGCTGCATGGAATGCCCATGTCTTCTGGCCCAAAGACATTGGTCGCAAAGAGATATTGATGTTGAAAGACACGCTCCAGCACTTCGACATCAAAGTAACGTGTGCATTCATGAACCAGAATGCACGGCTCAGCAATGAGCATGCTATGCATCCATACGATGGAAGCAATGCTTTGAACATCTAGCCATCCCATCTGCTTGCCTGATGATGACCATGGAGTACAAGTCACACTCGCTGCTTCCAAACGCAACTCGCCGGCTACTTTGTCAGGCCAAACGCGGCACTTCTGAAGGTGCTTGCTACAATAACATGAGCAATCCTTCTCGAAAGCTCGATTCTCAGACAGATACTTCAAGCCTTCTGCAACGAAGCTGCGGCCCAACTTAAGCAGCAAAGCCTTGCGATCAGCCCTGTTGAGCGAATTCTTCTTGACGCCTGCGTTGAACCTTGCCAGGTACCTGGTTTGCATCTCCTTTAGAGCAGCGAGGCGCTCCTGAGGAATCTTTTCCAGCAAATCTCCAAACAAATGATCACTTGCACTCTGCTGGTGGTGTGCTGACAGCACACGCTGACATAGCTGGTCAAAGTCAGTTGAGGCATGGAAAGCATACCTCAGGTCCCCGCCGTGCTGTTGGAAGGCCCTCTTCAAGAAAGTGAAAGCTATTTCAGGCACACCGATCCCACTGTATGATGTGGTCACCAAAACCTTCTTGCTGCTGATCTTCTCCCTCAGGCTTGGTATATCTACACCTTGCATGGAAAGCAAAGCACTAGCTGAGCAAAGAAATTTATCGGCCCAGCTCATGATGTCCTCGAACGACTGAGGCCCACTGTCTGTTGCATCCGCATCGCTGCATCCTGCTGATCCTGCTGTCTCCGAACCAGCTTCAAGCCTGCGTGTTCCAGAATGCAGAAAACGCAAGATCACACAGGGCTCCATTGTTCTCAGCTTCAGCTGGCCTTGACCGCTTTCTCTCCCGCTGAGGCGGCGAGAGGCAAGTGAAACCATCAACATCCGGGACCAAGGTGCTGGACATCTTGACCTAATGCCCAAGCTTACACAGCCACCCAGCTAATGGGATCAACTAAAGCATGCAATGCTCAAGGCTGTGCGTTGTCTCTCGCATGTGGTTGTTCTTATACCTGCTCTACTTGCTATGACCTACGGCGTGTGGCTACTGCATCCGGCCTTTTTGCTAGACTGCACATGCACCCTACTATACTTCATGACTTGTTTCATGCTTGCCACACTGGGTGCACTGCAACAAAACGGACTCTTTGCTCTTCTACATTGCTTTGGCCAACCTTCGGCCACTGCACATGACCAGAACCTATGCCTGTGCCTTCGCCAACAAAGTCCAAGTAAGGAAAACTTGACCATGATCAAAAAGTTTCCGAAAACTGCAAACGCTGCCGGCCCAAAGCAAAGACTTCCAGGGTTTCAAGGAATTTCCTCCGAAAAGACAAAAATGAAGCTCGGTTTGCGAAAATGCTGCTTCAGAGACCTAGGGAGTAGCCCCAACCCTCACGCAAGCAAAACCCACGAAAAATAGCCGCGGCAGCGGTCGAGC